TTGCTAATGACTAACTACATTGGCCTGATGGCCATGTGTGTCATTTTCGGATTCACGTTTGCCAGCTCATTTTCTTTTACGCCCAGCATCCTGGTCAGTATTGTTGACCTGGACGATTTCACGTGTGCCTACGGTCTGGTGCTGCTGGTGCAGGGAGTGGGCATGATCGCAGGACCCCCCATTGCCGGCGTTATATACATACGAGCATACGGGCAGATGGGACGACACCTTCTACTGTGCTGGCATATTTATAGCACTCTCCGGCGTCTGTTCGTATCTGATCGAGTTCTGCGAGAAGAAAGCACCAAAGGAGAGTGATAGTGATGTCTCAGAGACTAAAAAAGCTCGACTTTTACACTAGGTTACTTATAATACACTGTTGAATGCCGAAGGTGGAAGACAACTGGAGGTACTACAAATCGGAACAGTAGCCTGTAGCATTAAATGTTAACGAGTTTCTTATGTCAAATGGTGTTGCAGACATAAAATCAGAGTAGAATTGTAACTGAAACTGAGCCTATTTCATAAGTCTTAGCCAGTAAGCCTATACTTGACTTGACTAATCGTAGCTAAGTACCGATATACACCTAATATATAATTACCGCACTAGGGCAATTTACTATTCGCATCTGTAATCACACTTAGAAAAACTGTTCAATTTCAATCAATATCAATGCAGTGCATCACTGCCGTGTGCAAACGGGTCCCTCAATTGTCTTCTTTACAAAAATTATAGATATAGTTTTAATTGCCTTACATTTCGTACGAATATTAATTAAATACAATAAACAACAATCTATGTAACGAAGCAACTGGACAACCTAATACTGTCCTTTATTTTAAAAATTATACACAGCGTGGTGGAAACCGCGGACGTGGAAACTTCAGAGGAAACTATCGTAGTCGTAATAATAATTACAACAACTACAACAGTTCCAACTATAACAGTAATGGACGAGGCCAATATAGAGGAAACTCAAGAGGCCGTGGCAACTCAAATCGAGGCCACAATAACAATAATACAAACAATTCTGTGAGAATTGGTTTATTGGTTTATTGGTTTATCCTAAGACCAAATAATTTAATTTTTCCAATTTATGTTCCTATAACATACAGTTCTGGTAATAATTCCATAATTCTACCAGCAAGATCTCAAGTGGTCCGAGAGATTCATCTATCATTAGATGAATAAAGTATACTAATACCTAATTAGAAAATTCAACATGGCATTTATGTTGCGAACACAGTCGCAACAACCAAAAATGCATTTGTCCGATTACTGAATACAATCAGTACTGACCAAATAGTAAATATTCACAGTTTAAAATATGAACCACTTTCGAACTGTGACATAGTTCAAAACAATCCAGAAAATAGAGAAGAAACTGTCTTATCTCAATTATCCAAAAATTTTCCACCTCAGTTCAAGCAAATATTAACTGATTTATGCACACAGTACAGTGATATATTCGGACTCGAAACCGAATCAATAACTACAAACAATTTCTACAAGCAAAAACTAAGGTTGAAGGATGAAGAACCGGTTTTACATAAAAAATTATAGAAGTCCACATAGACAAAAGGATGAAATTAACATACACGTAAAAAAACTAATAGACAATAAAATAGTAAAACAGTCTTTATCAGACTATAATAGCCCACTGTTATTAGTTTCGAAGAAATCACTCCCCTGATCTGATACGAAAAAATGTCGATTAGTAATTGAATATCGTCAGATTAATAAAAAACTGTTGTCGGATAAATTCCCGCTACCTAGAATTGATGATATTTTGGATTAACTAGGAAGAGCGAAATATTTCTCATGTCTGGACTTAAGGTCTGACTTCCAGTTGCTTATGCATCAAGATCGTTTACTAAGGGCGAAAGTAATAAAAGTACAACAGAACAAGAATTGACAGCAATTCAATTGACAGCAATTCATTGGGCAATAACTTATTTCAGACCATATGTTTATGGTAGACATTTCACTGTCAAGACTGATCATAGACCTTTAACTTACCTGTTTTCAATGATTAATCCAAGCTCTAAGCCTACGCGCATGCGACTTGAGCTGGAAGAATATAATTTCACTGTGGAATATCTGAAGGGAAAAGACAACTATGTAGCTCATGCGTTATCAAGAATAACCATCAAAGATCTACAAAATATAACTGGAAATATCAATAAAGTCATTACAAGATATCAAAGTAGACAAAAAATCGGCGCGGAAAATAAAGAAATAGAATTGCCTAAGCAAACTATTGAAAAAGCTTCTAAGCCCAACGTATACGACGTCATAAACAATTTAAACATGGCAAGAAAATTACTGCAAGATATGATGTTAGCGATTTATATACCAATGGAATCCTAGACTTAGGTCCATTTTTCCAAAGGCTTGAACTGCAATCCGGTATAAATAAAATCAGCCAACTCAAAGTGGCACCGTGGGAAAATATCTTTGAATATACTTCAATAGATAATTTCAAATTAATGGGCAATAATATATTGAAAACTTTAAGAGTAGCGCGTCTCATCCCGGTGACCCAAATAAAAAGTCTAAAAGACAAAGAAGCTATTCAGTCTAAATTTCATGATGATCCAATTCAAGGAGGACACACTGGCATGTCAAAAACTTTGGCCAAAGTAAGAAGACACTATTACTGGAAAGGTATGTCTAAAGATATAACTGAGTACGTAAGAAAATGTCATAAAAGTCAGAAGTCAAAAATTACATCACATACAAAGACTCCTTTAACAATAACCGATACAACAATAAACGCTTTCCGCAGAGTAATAGTGGACACTGTTGGTCCACTACCAAAATCAGAAAATGGCAATGAATATGTAGTCACGTTAATAAGTGATTAAACAAAATATCTAGTTGCCATACCAGTTGCAAATAAAAACGCAAATACCGTCGCTATCTTACATATCGGTTAATAAAACTGATTGGGATGTATGGCTTCAATATTTGGTCTTTTGTTTCAACACGACCCCCTCTATGGTACATACTTATTGTCCATATGAGCTAGTATTTGGTAAAACAAGTAATATACCGAAACACTTTAATAGCATAGATAGCGTAGAAACAATATATAATATAGATGACTATGCTAAGGAGAGTAAATATAGATTAGAGGCAGCTTATAAAAGAGCTAGAGTTATGTTAGAAGCAAATAAGAATAGAAATAAACTACTATATGATCAGAAAGTAAGAGATATAGATATATCAGTAGGTGATCAAGTTTTACTAAAAATTCAGACAGGTCATAAGTTAGATCCTAAATACACAGCTCTGAATAAAGTAACGGAAATAAGAGATAGAGATAACATAGTAATAACAAATAATTCATGTAAGAAACAAACAGTTTATAAAGATAGATTAAAAATATTTATTTCATAAATTGTACTTAGTATGGCCATGCATAGTTTCACACACAACTTTTTATAACTAAAAATTATTATTAAAATAACTTCATAATATTACGTTATTTTTCAAAAGGAGGGAGAGTTCTTAAAGGGTACGCACTGTAACACTTTGTTGCAGTGTTTACATAATTCATGGTCCCGGTCATAAACCCCAAGTGGCCGAAATATGAACCGATCGCTAGGCTTAGGCCACTCGCAGAAAGTGCTAGCGTCGGCATAATTGCATGAGCGGACCGCATGTGCATACCCCTCGCGCTCCTCACATAAGAGGGCATATGTTTATAAACATAAGTACATAGATGGCCGTCTCTCAGCCGACGCCTGCAAGCAGCGCAGCAACGAGACTTAGCCTTAATTAGACTTAAAAGAATAATGTGGGCGTTAGAGTGGGCGTGTCTTGATCGGAAAAAAACAATTTGCATTGGGAGCATCATGAAAACCTACATGCTTAATCTGAATTTTCTATCTCTTATTGTTACCGAGATATCAGCTTTTCTAGAAACAGCGTCTTTTGAGCCTTGTGGGCGTATGGGTGGGTGTGGCTGGATAGAATTACTACTATAAGATGTGCTGGCATCTTAAGATTATACTTTTTGAATTTAAACTTTCTAGCTCTAATAGTTCCTGAGATTTCACCAATTTTTTTTTTTTACGATTTGTGGGCGTTAGAGTGAGCGTGACATGATGCTGTAATAAACTTGCGCTGCGTAGGGACCTCAAGAATCTTCATGGTTAATCTCAAATTTTTACGTCTTATAGTTCCTGAGATCTCAGCGTTCATACGGACAGACGGACAGACGGACATGGCTCATTCGTCTTCGCTATTCATCCTGATCAAGAATATATATACAGTACGGTATTAATAAATTTTAGCAGCACAAAACACGTTTTGATATTGCATCAGCAATTGGTACTCCAAGACAATATAATTTAAATAATAGGAAACACACCCGTAAAAATGTATTATTTGCTAGTTACCAGAATCCATTTTATGGTAAATAGTATAGCTGATGCCAAACAAGCCGCAAGTTTTGATAAACACAGCTTATTATACACGTATTTATACATTTACGTAAACTTGTGAGTAAAATGACCAAGCTAGCGTAAGTTCCTTTGTAAAGGCAACAAAGCAATTTTCAAAGGAATCAAGAGAGCGGTACCTTACTATGACAATAAAGAATTAATTAGTCGATGACTAACGAAGATCGGGCGGCCGAAAAGGGTTAAATTTTAGCTAAGCGCTCTCGCGCACTGTGAAGGGGCGGAGTAGGAGCACGGGAGATCGGGAGTTGGTTGACAGTTGATATCTGGTGAGGGGGGAGTTTGAGAGCTCGAGTACTAAGAGTGAGAAGAGGAAGAGCGGACGTCCTGGAAATCGGTATTTTTTACCATGTCCTGAACAGTCCCCATTCTTCTTTTTCCATTATCACGTTACCCTAAAATATTGTTTTTGAATTTTCTTAATACGAATATTGGATACAAACTAAATCCGTTACGATTCAACAAATGCAATACGTTCTTTATCTCTATGAATGATGGTAAAAAAACACTTTTTTTTAATTTTTTTTCTGAAAAAATATTTTTTTATTAAAACTAGTGATTAAAGAAATATCTGTAGAAAATATTATATTTTTTATGAACTCGCGTAGCCACTTTATAAGTCAGACTCTGCAAGCTCTTCGGTAAATTACCGTTTTTTGTTTTTCTTCTCAGCCGAGTTTACCCTTAAGCTTCTCCCAGAAGGATGGCTGTGCAGTCGCTTTTACCTCAATCTATTGAATGAGATTGTAAAATGTATCTTTCGAGTTTCAATTTGTTAATCGAGCACTTACTTTGTTCCTGCTATTGTTGGGGTCCAGCTCGTGAGTTTTACGAACATCTTCAACCTGAATCTGCTGCTGACTTAGGTTCTCTGTCTGAAGATTCAAGTCATGGTCCTCAACCTCCTGCTGACGAAGATCCTTAAGATTTTCGTTCCATTCCAGCTCATCGATCTCTAACTGTTGGCTAGGATCATAATTTTGTTGCGATGCTTCATCGCCAGCCGCCCGATTCCATTTCTTAATGGTTGAACTAGCACTGGCTGAGGATAGGGCCGGCCCAACGTTGACCGAGGCAGCGGAAGTGCCCACTGGAACATTTGAGGTGTGGTATTGACGAAGGTATTCTAAGCCACTAAGTGGTACAACTTGGTTATAGGGAACCGGAGGAGTGGATGAAGGTAGAAAAATAGAGGGCTGTGATAGTCGAGAACGGGTTGCCTCTCCCTCCAGACCAGGTTCGTCACCGTCAACAAAGGTATCCTCATAAGTGTGCGGCGGCTGGTCCCCGCGATCTTTGGAGAATATTGGTTTGTAGGCAACAGTAGCGTTGGTGCTTCCTGGATCCAGTACGTAGCCGCCTTTAGAGCCGCTGTCTACCGATAAGTCAATGAGACCCTGGCTTAGTAGGAAAAGGGTGCGGCGCCAAACAACCAGGTCTTGACCGAACGTGCCAAAGCGACTTTGCAGCCGGCTCAGAGCCCATTGAAAACGCTTCTCATATGTTTTGGATTCGGTAGGGGTCATAAACCAGCGATGGTTAACGTGAACTATTTGGCGAAGTTCGCCCTCACGAAATTGTTGCAGGTCACTCTGCGACATGGCATAGTATCGCGCTATCTGGTTAATGCGTCCAAGCTCCTTCTTTTGCCAGTCTTTTAGTTGCTGAGCTGTGATTTCGTATTTCAATGAGAATTCCTCTAGCAAATTGGTAGCCTGGTTCTGCCAATTATTTAACTCAGCCTGCGTAATGTTTTGATTGCCGATAAATTCGTAAAGGCGATCACGTTCCCGCTGTTGCCAAGTGGTTAACTTATTTAATCGGCGCTGTTCTAATAATTTTTCTCGTTTCATGTTGCCGATAAATATGCGCTGCACGGGCGCTAATTGATCCAGACCCACCTGATAGAACTGAGCTAATTGTTTCTGGAAGCTTGTGTCCTGTGCGACAAAATCTAGAAGCTCCTTTTCAGTAATCACAACACCAGCAGCCACTTCTCGCAAACGATTTCGTTCCTGTTCATGCCAGTTATTGCTCTGTCGTCTTACATCCTTCAAAATGCCCAAGTCCGAGAAGTGACTCAGCTTATTCAGAATGAACTGCCTTAGCTTATCGACAGAAGTCTGATATTGTGACGCTAGGAGATGGACGTCATCAAAAGTAGATTTTTCTAAAGCTATCTTATCTATGTCCGTGTTATTCACAATCACCAGGTATATCCGTTGCAACTCCTGAGAGTGCCACGCGAGGTCCGAGCCACGGTCTATTTTGTGTTGCTCCACCAGTCGACTTAGCTCGTTCTTATACCACACCTTCAACTCTTCGGCTGTCAAATGATACTGGACGACGGCATCCTGTAGGTGCTTTAGATCGTGGCTTAGCCAGAGCTCTAGCTCATCGATGGTCCACCGTTGCTGCTTGCGATGTTGTTGGTTGATAAGTTCCTCGATGTAAAGTCGTTCCTTAGTTTGCCACTCGGTGGTGACCAGGCCCTCGCTCTTAGCGCTCTGGCTCAGCCACAAATGAACGTCTGCGATTGTGACGTGGTACTGGCTGGTAATCCGTTCGAAAATTGGCTTGTTGCTGATCAAATAGCTCTCAAATTCTTGCTGAGAGAAGGGTCGCTCCCGAGTCACGCTTCGAAGATGCGACAACAATTCGTTCTTCCAAGTAGCAGGCTGTTCGTCGAACCATATGTTACCGATGTCTTCGTACTTCACGTGGTTTTCAGGACGTTCAATCACTCCGATCAGCGAAAGTCGAGCGGCTTCTTTTTGAACCTCAAATAAAAAATAGATTTCTTTTTTATATAATAGTAATAAATTGCAAACGAAATTTTTTTATAATCTATTTAATTGACTGATTTTATTTTAAAACAAGAAGCAACGCTGAGTGCCGTGACTATCTTAAATCAGTTGTTCTTTTTACCAATTTAACAAAAAATACGGTACCTGAAACATATTTTGCGGTATTTTCGTTTGTGCATCGCAAATTTGTTTTAATCTTTTTTTAAGCCAGCAACTTCTCAAGATACTTTCACACCTTATGTTAATTTAATAAATCAATAATTTGCTATAAAGGCACTAAAAAATAATCCAGTACTTATGTTACATGGATTCCGTACACGCCTGTAAGCCTTACCCATTTCTCCACCTGTTCCACAGTCACGTGATACTCTGATGCGATGCTGTCCATTCGCTGTTTATCGCGCTTGAGAAAGGCAATAAACTCCTTATAACTTGCTCCGTTAAGCTGATTCTTTAACCATTTTTTGAATCCGTTGCTGATCTCCTGCTGCCACCTTGTCTGCTGATCGAACTGTATAAGACCGGAGCTCTGAAGTCGTCGCAGCTCCTCTCGCATCCATTGGTCAACCTGTTCAATATTTACATGATGCGTCTGCGAGATGGTACGCAGGCGGGCGTTATCCTGTGTCAGCTCTTGCTCCATTTGCTCGTATGGTATCTCTTGCTGTTTTTTAAGCAGTAGTTCTATAAGTCGCTGTTGTTCGTCTACTTGCCACTTGCTTAAATTTTCGACCGTTGTCTGACCCGTAGTTCGCAGTTTGATCAGCTGCTGTCGAAGCCAATCTTCGATTTCTACAATGCTTACAGAGTATTTGTTTGCTAGGTTCTGCAGACGCTCTCTCTCTTGGTTTAGCTCAAGCTCGAACTCCACAAAGGTAAGGTGGTTCTGCTGCTTCACCAGGTTTTGCAGGCGATCCAACTCGGACACCTGCCAGTCGCTGAGGTTTTTTAGAGATTCCTCAGAACTGCCACGCAAACGTTTTAGTTCCGCGATCATCCACTCCTCGATCTGCTCCACGTTTAGCCGATATTGATCAGCTAGATGGTTTAGATGGGCGCGATCTGCTAGTAATTTTTCCTCGTATTCAGCAGTAGACAGCCCGTTCTTGTACTCGGAAATTAAACTCTTAATATAGTCTCTCTCCACCTTCTGCCATGTTTGTAGTTGCTCTATATCAAACTGTCCACTCTTGCGCAGGTCATCGATCACCTGCTTAACATATTTCTCCACTTCCTCTATATGAACGTGATGCTGTTCCGCAAGCTTTATCAAAAAACGACGGTCATTTTGTATCTATAATGTAAAAGTATTACAATTGAATAAATATTTAAAATGTCTATCTATATAATAAGAAATACCTTCTGTCTCAAATATTACGAGCCCCCTTATGATTTTTATAACAAACATAGGAGTAGTTCGCGCCAGATGCTTCTCTATTTTCGCCATTATTGTTTGTATCTGAATAATTAACCTTTTTAACACAATTCAATAACTTTTAAAATAAATTGCCAAACCTAAATGGTCCAAAATTTGTAACTAGAACTTGCTTAATCCTCACCCTCGTTTTTTTATAAACTACAATTATAGTGTAACAGGTACAAAGAAGCATTTTCGATCCTATAAAGTATACATTATGGAGGATCAAAAACCAAGTTGATTAAGCCATGTCCGTCTGACTGACCATATGTCCAGATGAACAGGACTAAGCAGATTTTTTAGATGCCTACTCAAAACTAAATCTATGAAATCGCGAGAACTGTGAGAGCTAAAATTTGGGACTAAGCATGAATATTCTTGAGAATCCAACGCATTAATTACCATTATCAGGCAACGGATACTCCAAGGTCCACAACCCGTGGAAAAATAAAAACGATAAATTACAAAATTTTAGGGCTTGGCATATGTATTCTAGGGATGCCACCGCAGCTGGAGATGATTTCATTCGGCCACGTCCACTCTAATACCCACAAAGTGCGGAAAACTTTTTAAAACATTTTTTGTCAATATGTATCGATATACCAACCATTTTTCAAATCGGATATTTATTACGCGAGTATTAAGATGTGTAAGTTTTAAGGACTCACATGGACAGTGACGTCACGATATGTTTATAAACGTGTTTTTCTGACAAAAGGTGAGTTTTACTAATTTTGTAGGCATACGAGTGGAAGTGGCCAAATTTCGGAAAAAATACTTCATTTCTTAATCGCAACTTCCTATCACCTATAGTTCCTGAGATTTCAGAGCTTCCACTAAAAACATCATTTTTCGCGTGCCCGACTTTATAACGGCTCCACCTTGCGATGCGCTGGCATCTTTCTAGGCATTAGAGTTGTTCTTGTTTTTCCTTTTTTCTCTTTGCAAAGATAATTGAAAAATTTTGGAATTAAATTGTTTGCCCTGATAAAAGCACAACCAGTCGAACATCTTAAATCGTATATATTTTTATATTCTTCAATATCCTGGTAAATTAATTAATTATATAATATCTATAATATATAATATCTGTAGATGCGCGCATTTGCAGTTCGTTACGTCACTACGTTGACAGCAGCCCACCGCCGTACCGAAATAATAATCCCGAATTCAAGAAAACATTTTACTCACCTTGGATTGGAATTGCTCCAAGGTTATATTGGAGTTTTGCTGGAGAAGCGAGAAAATTCGATGCTGTTCGGAGCGTTGCCAGCCGGATAGTTTTTCGATGTTAAGTTTTCCCTTCTGTTTCAGCCGTTCAACTTCGCCTTCGATCCATTTCTCGATCTCCTCGACTGATGTGTGGTACTGAAATGCCATTGTTTGCATGTGTTCGCGATCCTTTTCCAACTCGGTTCTCAACTCATCGGCGCTCCACTGCTGGTTCTGCTTGATCAGGGTCTCCAAACGTTCGCGTTCTGCCAGCTGCCACGATGTAAGATTATCGATTTGAAGCTGTCCTTCGTCGCGCATGCGTGCCAGCTCCTGCTTCATCCAGCTTTCGATTTCCTCTACCTGAACGCTGTACTGGCGCGCCAGGTGTTCAAGGAGCTCACGATCTTGTCTTAAGCGGGCCTCCAATTGCTCGGTAGACTTAAACTGCTGCTGGGCCAGGTTCTTAAGATGCAACCGCTCTACCTCCTGCCAGTTGGTCAGCTTTTCATTGGGTTTTAATAGACCCATTCCGATGAAGCGCTGCTCCTCCTTATGAACAAACTGTTCTATTTCCTCGATCTGTACGTTGTGCTGCATGGCTAAATTCTGTAACTGTGATCGATCCTTAAGCAGCCACTTGTGGAACTCCTCGACGGTAAAGTCGCGGTCCTGCACCATATTTGTGAGATTGCCGCGCCATTCCAGCTGCCAGTCTTTCAGCTTATTCATTTCTATCAAGCCCTGATTTTGCAAATTTTGGATCTGCTTTTTGATCCACTGTTCGATCTCCTCGACACGCACCTGGTGCTGTTGGGCCAAGCTATAGAGGTGAGTTTGATCCTTACTGATCTTTGACTCTATTTCCTCGATGGAGAGGTTATTCTTATTAATAAGATCTAGAAGGCGTTGGTGCTCGATTTTCTGCCAGTTGTTAAGCTGTGACTCCATTCTCAGCTGTCCCTCCTTTTGGAGTCGATCTCCCTCGGACTTGATCCATTGCTCTATCTCAGATACCTTAATATTATAAGTTTCCGAAATGGTTTGAAGACGTGCTCGATCGGACAGCATTTTGCGTTCGAGCTCGGTGAAGGAGTATTTATTCTGTTGCACTAACAAAGAAATTTGAGCGCGCTCTTGCTGCTGCCACTCCTTTAAGGATTCCGCCTTAATCAAGCCAGCACTCTGCAACCGCAGCAACTCCTTCTTTAGCCAATCTTGAATGTCCTCAACGCTGATCTTGTACTTATCGGCCAGTTTAAAGAAGTGGTCTTGATCGTTCTTAATCCGAGTTTCCAGCTGCTCTACGGTCATTGAGTTCTGATGCACGATGGCCTGCAGACGGTCACGTTCCTTCTGCTGCCACAAAATCAACTCCTGCTCCACAGCCTTAAGCAAACCCTCTGACTGAAACTTCTTCAACTCGCTTTTTATCAACTGCTCAATCTCCTCCACCTTTACCTTATATGTTTTCGCCATCTCCTCCAAGTGACTGCGATCACTTATAATGTATGTCTTAAACTCCTCAAGCGTCAGTTGGTTTTGAACCGCTATATCTCGAAGGTTGGTGCTTACAATAGCTTGCCAGTTTTTGATTTGATCATTAAGCTGCTGATGCCCCTGGTCTTGAAGGCGCTTCAGCTCCTTGTTCTGCCACGTTTCAAGCTCCTCTACGGACACCTTGTACTTTGTGGCCAGATTTTGCAGATAGTTCCGGTCTTGGTTCATCCGAAGCTGTAATTCGTCCAATGATCCGCGATGTTGCAGTAAAATTGTTTCTAGACGGGAGCGCTCCGAAATTTGCCAAGCAGTGATCTGCGAAACTTGCTCGTTTTGGTGCTTAATTAGATCTCCAATTCGTGCTACTTCACCGCGAAGCCAATGCGTTTGGCTTTGCATCTCTCCCTGATATTTGATTGAAAGGTTTTTCAGTCGCTGTTGGTCTGCTTTAATGGAATTTTGGAGTGCGATCATTGTAGCATTGTGCTGACCAATCAGGAAATCCAATCGCTGTTGCTCTTTGGTGTTATCCTCAGGGAGGGAACTAGATGAACCGTAGGTATAGGTAGATTGTAGTGGCAACGGTGCAGCCTGCGAGTCTCGCAACTCGTTTTCCTGGTTTAAGTGAGCATGAATACGTTGCAGCTCCTCGCGCTGCCATTTTTGGAACTTGTTCCGACTAAGTCCGTGCAGTTGGGCAATCTGGGAAAGCTTCCCGTTATTTTCGTTCTGCCAGCGCTCAAGGTCTTGGGAAGTAAAACAGTTCTGCTGGATCAGCCAGTCCAGGCGACCGCGCTCCTGCCGTTCCCAATTGCTTATATTTTGAGCATGAGACTGGTCTTGTTCCAACAGAGCCTGGTAGCGCGCCAGCTCCCGCCGATGGAACTCTTTGAGCATAGCAAGACTTATCCGATAGCGATGAACAACGCCTAGCATGCGCTCCTCTTGCTGTTGATGCCAATCGACGATTTGTTGCGGTGTAGTTAGATACCAAAAGAGCCTTTCACGCTCTTCGCGCTGCCACTGCTCGTCACTCGATACCGTTTTTTGGCTTATTGGATTTTGTCTATCAAACACCAACTTTCCGTCCTGCCAGCGCTGCTGCGACTCCGATCCATCCACGGTACTAGTTCCATCCAAATTCGTGGTAATCGTTTTGTTAAATTTGTGTATTATCATATCTGAACTGAATTGAGGAAATGCAGTGGCAATTTGATTATAAGCGCTGTTCTTCTGGTGACCATCCACATTAACCACGGAATTGTAGCCAATCACACTTGGCTCCATGTTCTCCCTTACCCAGTCACGGATAGTTTTTTTTTGCGTCAATGTGGTCATACTGCTACCGAATGGAATAGATGTCTGTTTATTGTCGAGGAACGTATGTTTCGTTTGACCCAAAACACCTTGTTCCGGCACTGTAGTCGTTTCAGTGCAATTTCTATGCACCAAATAGGTCTTCCCTTCAAAAACTTTCACCTCAGCGGGATATGCGTAGTTCTTCACCTCATCGTATTCGCTGAAGTCCACAGGTTGAAAAGAACCAAGACCTACAGTCTTTTGTAAGTTGACGCTCTCGCTCTCAGCGTAGCGCTCAAGCAGTTCGGCTGCCTTTGCTTCAAAAAAGTTTGGTTGCGCTATAGTACTGTACGCAATATTGCCCTGTCGCATATCCAAGACCAACTGCTGGCTGATTTTAAAACTTAATTCATCTAGCTCGTGAGCGCTTCTTTTGCTTAAATCTAAAATAGAAGCTGGAAAAATAGAACCGGTAAATAAAGATCCTTAAAAAAATTCCAACAAAACAAAAATATTATTTTTACCTAAAAGGTATTTTATCAATACAAGATATCACAGTACTGGTAGAGAAATATTTATATATTATATTACTCAAATAATGCTTACGGAGTTTGGTTGAAAAATGCAAATGCGTTTTTTTAGATTTAAATTAAAATATTTTGGCATTCTATGTGTAAAAGTTGTTTATACAAAAAAATTTTAGTTTTATTTTAATAAATATGGTTAACATTTTCTTTAACAACCTTTAACCCTTAAAATTCAAAGGGCTTTACTTTGCTTGGTAGACGAGAGCCGTGACTATGATATAGTCGTTAATGTTTAATGACACCGATTTGCAATTTTGTTTTCAATCGAACGATATTGACAAAATATATTATATAAGGAAAAAACATTAATATTAGTATTATGAACGCCACAATTTTTTGCTCTTTGTACACATTAAAGTGGGATGATACGACTACTATGGGCTGCGTTGAGATCTCTAAAATAGAATCCCATTCATAGCAATCCAAACTTTTTAGCTCATAAGGTCTCTGAGATCTCAGCTTTTTTAATTTTTGGTATTTTCTGTAATGACATTTATGGTATCAATCTCTTATAGTTTCTGAAATCGGACGGACGAATAGACATATGACATATGGACATATGGCTTAAAAGACTATGCTGTTGATATTGATCTACCCATTACATGCTTTTTAATGACCTTCTTAATCTACCCTCTACGAGTACCGGGTATAATTATGTCCCAGACATTAATAGAATCGTAATTATAGGGATTTATGGTATTAAGGGAACTATAACTGAGCATTTTGTATCCTTAAAACGAAATTTTTTTTGAAAAGTAAAGTAAAGGGTTTGTTTCGCTCATCCGATGTTTAAATAATCTAGCAGATTTTGCACTAATAATCGACTAACAAATTATTTTATACAAAAGTCGAACTTTTAAAGTTTAATTCTGCACACGACATTATTTGTAATACTTTAGTTAACTTTTATAAAAGTAATTCTGTGCGACTTTTACATTTCTTGGTATCCTTGAAAATATTAAAACTTACCAGTCCATGGCGGTAAATACCCAAAAACTGTAGATCCCTGGGAAAGAACGTTGAATTTTTGCTTAAGTTGGTTAGCCATCTGTCGCACCTCTTTGAAATGGGCTGAGGCCCAGGAATTGAGATGTGGCACAGTTGGTGAGGACTGTTCATCGCCGTAGAATGCGGACGAGCTAGACCTGGAACTAGACCGTTGGTACGCCTGGTAACCCTGACAAATAGCAATGGCCAAAAGCAGGTTGAGCCCACCCAGAGCCCTCATGCTGTAACAATATAAAGAGAAGCAATATAAGACAACGTAAATGACAAGAAATAGATAAAGATAATTTAAGAAATATATATGGCTTTTGCAGACATTTCAAATAGTTTTTTGGTTACCCCAAGCGCTAAAATTTTCGGCGCTGATAGCAAACAAATCTAATTCAGACCGTAACACAAGATTATCGCTTCAGCTCTGGGCAATGGGTCAGCAAAGGTTAGTCTGACGATAATACGCGTACAGCCTGGGATCAGACCATACAACATTACACTTATTTTAAGCTCACTTCCACATTTTTGTCTTATTTGCTTTTTAATACAAATTTTAATTGTGTACATATGTACTTATATATGTACTTATTACATCCGGTTTATGTCGATAATTCACATTGACTGAGCGATGTCAAACTTTTCAGCATTCTTGAAAGAAGTTTTTTTAATTGGGTCACTCATTCTTTTTCCAATTCTAATATTATTTATTTCTGGAACACAGTTTTGAGTTCACTGCAGGCTGACGCTATTTATTTTTAAATATTTTCCAAAGATTTTCTATTTTTATCCGACAGATAATAATCAAATAATCAATTCTCTTATTTTGACTTACAGTGCTATTTACTTTTGCAAGGATTTGTTAGGCCCGAAAAAGTGTTTTTTAATGTTAGCTTTTAGGCCGTTTCGACCTAACTCTGCGATTACTCTCTGCGGTCAGAAGGTTGCACTCGAGAGGAACACCGTTCTGTCTTATGCCACTGTCAAACAGCTACTAACAGCTGAGAGCCCAGCACAAAGCATTTATGGAAATGTTTTTCCCCGCAAGTGGCTACAATATACAAACAAAAACGTTATCTGTAGTTTTCAGCTATCATCGATATAATACCCCATTCTGCCATTGCGTGAGCTGCTACAAACAATCTTATTAAAAACAGGAGGAGCGTTAAATATATTTGAAACTATTCCTTGGGCTTTATGTAACAGCCTAGAAATAAATATCCAAGAGAATTTTTTTTAGTTTAGTTGACACAGACAAAACAGAGAATGATGTCTACGAGTATCCTGGGTCGAGATTAACACAATATTGGCTATTAGTCGGGAGTCGCGACGATATTTCTCAACTGTCTATAACATCACTGACCATTTAGGGCCTTGTAACTTGATTTTTGGAATATATGTATAAAAAAAATATATAAAATGCGATAAAAATTACGAGTGTACGGCTATGCCGCAATGGTCAATACGCGTATCAAACATTTACAAATTAAAAATTAAGACTCATAAAAAAATTTGTATTTAGTGAGTTGCTTATACTTGAATGGATATTCTTATCTTAAAATAATATACTATATATTAATAATATAAAATGGCATTTATTTTATTTTTTGCTCGTCCTCATGCTGAAGTGAATGGAAATTTTATGCTTAAAAAGCACTTTTTCATTTCGGTAAGCAGATGAAAACCCATTTTAGACTTTGTAAGGATTGTTTTTTATATAAGTTTATTTTCTTATAATAAGTAAAATTAAAATGTACTGGCAATTGAGGGCTGCCACAATTTTTTAGTTCTGAGCCTTACGTCTTTGCTTACCTACTTATTTTTCGTTGAAAAGTGGGTAACAGGCGGAAGAGAGCGTTTCCGACCCTAAATTCTTGATCAAAATCAAAAACGCTGAATGCTGTGGCGCCAATAATATTAAAATGTACATTTTTTTACCATTTAAAGCAGAAAGCTATCCTTAATAAAAGGGAGACAATTTTATCACAACGTAGGTATGCTAAAACTCTTTACTTTAAGTCAGGGATGGAGGCTAAAAGACAAGTTAGATGATATTCGGTGTTATATTAAAATCAAAAACGTTTAATGAATTCAAGAGTAGCCAAGGCTATGTAGTTATGGCATATAAGTTTTGGGTCAAGAAGAACACCTAAATCGTTTACCTAATATATACGGTCAAGTGGCTTGGTGTCAAGGGAATTAGATTTAAATTAGGTGTACCCCCATAAAATATAATTACATTGCATTTTAGAGGATTGGAGATGTACTATCTCTGAAAACAATCGATCTCTGAATATAAACCGAAAGCTGAATGTGTAGCTTTGTAAAATATACAAAGCCTAATATAATCGGTATATATAATATAAGTACCCGAGATTTTTTTATATTAGATGGAAGATCATTGATGAGTAATGTCAATAATAATTATCCCAAATGACTCCCTTAATTATAATCAATGTCAATTCAAGTAGATTAGTGGTATATGATGTCCGATTAAGAAATCCATGTTGGGAAGGTGAGAATATTGAGAAACATACGTGTTGCAAGTGAGAGGTAAAAATGCGCTCAAGCACTTTGGAAATTGCGGACATCATAGAAATATTGGTATAGCTTTGGGATACTCTTTTATCGGGGAATTAATAAATTAATCTTTGCAGATGGTAGGAGAGACTGGTGTAGAAATTGACAAATTATACAGAGGCAAAAAACTAAAAAATACATTCAAGCAACCCATCTGGCTCATAAACACACGACGGTATTAGGGTCTCGAGATAACTTGTGAGGGAATAGAGGTGAAAACATACAGCTTAAACTATTTAACTGGTAAGGGTAACTTATTTTTTGCCCAATCAGAAGTGAGGCCCATAAAGCCAAACTAAACCAGAGGACACGCTATAGTCGAGTGCCGCGACTACAAGATACCCGTGATTGTTTTACACAATTTTAAAATATTAATTTTACTAGTGGAAACTCACAAGGCACCACCTATTGTCAGAGGAAGCATGTTGAGTAATTGATAGTGACGTCACAAACCATATGAGGCCTTATAACCTAAATTTCTTCATAAATAGCGAAATAATATTCCGATTTCAAAACTCTTTGTCAAATCGATATTAACAAAAATAAGTTATACAAAGTCAAACGGCATTCATAATAATATTATAGACGCCAAAGCTTTTCGCGGTTTGTGGGCGTTGGAATGGTCGTGGCCAGATGAAACCTCGTTGCAAGTTGCAGTGGCATCTCTTAAATACGTATTCTTAAGTGCAACTCTGTGTTTTCGGGTTTTGTGGGCGTTAGAGTGGGCGTGGCCTGATCGGAAACAATTCGCATTGGGAGCATCATAAAAACCTACATACTTAGTCCAAACTTTTTGACACTTTTCGCGATTTGTTTTGCATTTTTGTGTTTTCGGGTTTTGTGGGCGTTAGAGCGGGCGTGGCAGGATGCGGTAACAAACTTGCGCTGCGTAGGGACCTCAAGAATCTTCATGGTTAATCTCAACTTTGTATCTCTTATAGTTCCTGAGATCTCAGCCTTAATACGGACAGACGGACAGACCAATGTTAAAAAATTAAAATTACCCGTCTCAGGCACTGGGTAAATTTCCTAGTAGCAAACAAATTAATCCAAATCTTAAATTCCATTTGAAATTAAATTAAATTAAATTAAATTTTAAATTTTAAAATGAAAAAAAAAGATTTCAGTTCAGTCAGTTTAACTAGAAATGGAAAAAAATTGAATTAAATTAAAGAAAGAAAACTGTTCTATATTTTATAATAATGCGATAAGTAAATTAAATATATTATATATAAATAAAGTTGAATTAAGCAGCATAGATATGTTTTAACAAACATATTACTGATAATTGTTGTTATAATGTGTGCAAATTGTTTTTACAAATTATATAAGCTGCACAATAAATGCCTAAAGAAAATATATATGAGCCAAGCAAACGACTTGGACAAGATTTTAAAAAAAATAACAAAGCGCACAAACAACAAATAATAACGATGCAAATTATAATAAACTCTTATTAAATAAAACACGGAAGGGAAATGAAATAAAATAAAGAAAACAATATATACATTATATATGTATATATATATAAAACAATTAATATGTATGTATATTCTCCCTCCCACTTCTTACCTTCAGAACACTGAAGCGTCGCCGCAGCTGTTTTGAACGCCCATAGGCATCACTCCGGTGAGTACGAAAAATTCGCCATCCAAAATTTTTGGAATGATGCTAGCAAATCGTTAGATAGTTTGTCTGCTTCAAGGCTCATGGCTCCTACAGAGACAATTTCCATTAACATCAAACCACCCGATACACCGCAGGGGAATTTCGTGCCCGGACTAGCGACGTGCACTGGCAGTGCAGGATTAGAACCTGCTACACCAAAGCCCCTAAAGGTAATCCCACCTGAGAAACATATATTTGTTTCCCGGCTTTCCGATGATACGTCTGAGGCAGACGTTTTGGCTTACATACAAGCCAGAACGAAAGCCGACATCAAGGTGGATGACATAACTAAATTTAAATATCTTTTTTTAAATATATACCACCCCTCGGTGGAATTTGACAAAATGTGCTCAACCAAGTTCTGGCCGGATCACATTTTCGTCCAGGAACATCGAACGGAACATAAAAAAAAAAGAAAATAATCGACCTACGGCGGTAAAACTCCCTTATAAAAAAGCCTCTTTACTGGTCAAAAAAGGAAAATAGTTTAGCTTTAACACTCTTCTCACAACACGATTTTATTGCAGGTATGTTAGACCTCACCATTGTTTCTCTGCACTGCAACCCAAAAAGGAATAGTATTAACAACCGTTCCAGGTGTGGAAGCTAGATCTAGAATAGATGAACATCCAATCTTAGGTAGAGCAATTGTTATGATGGTATCTAAGAAATAATTCATATCCATAATATAATGGAATGGAATGAATAAACAAAGGAACTATCAAACCTTAGAGCAGAATTTGACAAATCATATAAGTCACTAGCCCAGAACAGAGCTATACAGGGAACCACAGTTAGAAAATACGCAGAAATATTGGTTAAATGCTTTAATGAAGCACGAGTAATTATATATGTAAATAGAGATAAATTTAATCATTGGTCTCAGGTTTCAAAGTATTTAATCAGACTAAAATCCAATTTAGCAACTATTAGGGAAAAGTTCAAGCTAGATATATCAATGCCGAATATACTTAATACGTCAGTAATAATCGAAACTGGCGAAGAACCAGAATCAAAGGAAGCGAATAATACTGACCATGAAGAATTGGAAGAGGAAGAAATAAATAATCTCACTATACCAGCTATATTAATGTCTGATTTGGACATTAATGCAGACTCAAGCATAGTTGGAGAAAATTGATTACAATGGCACAGTCAAATATTGATTTTATATGGTAAAACTTATCATGCAGGCTGGCACCTTCAACACCATGAATGATGCCATATCTAGATTCGTAAATAGTTTCACGAAACCAACTGGACAATGAAATACAGTCTTTTATTATAAAAACTATCACAGCGTGGAGGAAACCGAGGACGTGGAAATTTCAAAGGTAATATTAATATTTTTGATAGACTCTGGTGAAGATCTTTGTTAAAAGACGATTCTGACACTTTCGATAATATAAACACTGACAACAAAAAAAATATTCAGGGAACCAATCAAGGATTAATTCAATCTAAAGGACTGACATCTTTAGAAATACAAACTACTAAATATATAATTCCACACAACTTCCATATTGTCGAATTAACTTTTTCTATACTGTAGTATACACATATTATCGTATCGAATACACACTGTACCAATGCCAACATTGTGGTACTGTGTTTCGCGTGAACACAAATTGGCCGACAGAAATACGATCGGTCCGAACGCGCCACAGAGCTCGTTACGTGGGAAGTGCAAGTGTCAGCACTTTCTCATAGCTTGACAACGTATATATATAACATGTGCATATGGATCTCTTCGCGCTC